TGTAGTCCCAGCTACTCCGGAGGCTGAGGCAGGAGAATGGCGTAAACCCGGGAGGCGGAGCTTGCAGTGAGCTGAGATCCGGCCATTGCACTCCAGCCCGGGCTACAGAGCAAGACTCTGTCTCAAAAAAAAAAAAAAAAGGAAGATCTGTGAAATGAGATGTCCGTAGAGAACTTTGAAAAGTTACGATACATGCCTGGGGATCTACAAGGCTGTATACACACTCAGGAAAGACTTAGAGGGCCCCAATCTCTCACTCTGGCTGACCTTGAGGCCTTGTGAAAGTAGGAAGCGAAGGGTAAGACAGAGTTAGAAACTCCCTGAGCATTGAAGGTGTGCCCCAACCCACACACGGAGCTCCTTGTCAGAAGGTGGAAGATACACTAGCTCAAGGCATTTAAGGAAATCTCTGTCTGATCATTAGCTGGCCACTAATCTAACTGAGCAAAGACTTCAGCTGGCTACACATTACAAGGAATGTAGACTTTACAGAATTAGTCCGGGAAAGTGAGCAAAAAACAACAGAAAAACAACAACAACAAAAGCCCCACAGAAACAGCAGCAACAGACTGGCTACGACAACAAACCCTGGAAGGGTGGGTGTCTGATTTTCAGGACTTTCAAATTATACTACCTAAAAAGCTCTAGTTTTTAAAGAAAAATTATGAGATCTGCAAAGAAATATGAAAGTATGAAAGTATGGCCTATGCACAGGAAAAAATCAGTCACTAGAAACTGTCCCTGAGAGAGCCTTGATGTTAGATTTACTAGACAAAACCTTTAAATCAGCTATTATGAATATGTTCTGTGAGCTACAGGAAGCCATGTCTTAAAAAATTTTTTGAAGTATGTCAATGATGTATCACTAAATACATAATATCAATCTATCAGAAAGATAAAAATTATTTAAAAAACAACCAAATAGAAATTCTAGAGTTGGAAAGTACAATACTTGAAGAAAAATTCACTAATACTAGTAGGGTCCAATAGCATATTTAGGCTGGCAGGAGAAAGGATCAATGAACTTGAAGACAGGTTAACAGAGATGATTATGATTTAGTCTGAGGTATAGAAGGAAAAAAGAAGAATGAACAAAGCCCCAGAGATCTATGAGACACTGTCAAATACATGCACCAACATACATGTAAAGGGAGTACCAGAAGGAGAACAGGAAGATAAGGGGGAAGAAAGAAATCATAGAAGTAAAGTTCAAAGAGTTTTCAAATTTTCTAGAAAAAAAAAAAAATATATATATATATATATTTGAGACAGAATCTCACTCTGTCACCCAAGTGGGAGTGCAGTGGTAAGAGCTCAGCTTACTGCATCCTTGGCCTCCTGGGTTCAAGCAATTCTGCTGCCTCAGCCTCCCAAGTAGCTGGGATTATAGTGTGCACCATGAGGCCCAGCTAATTTTTGTATTTTTAGTAGAGACGGCATTTCACCATGTTGGCCCAGCTGGTCTTGAACTCCTGACGTCAGGTAATTTACCAACCTCAGCCTCCCAAAGAGTTGGAATTACAGGCATGAGCCACCGTGCCTGGCCAATTTTCTGAAAATATTAAACTATATATCCAAGAAGCTCAATGATTTCCAAGCTGGATTACTTAAAGGCTGGTCCTCGCTCTAATGTGCTCCTCTGCCTCCACCCTAAGAAGGATAAACTGAAAGAGATCCACACCGAGGTATATCGTAGTCAAATTGTCAAAAACCAAAGACAATGGGATCTTTAAAGTAGCAAACAAAAACAAAAACAAAACAAATAAACAAAAAAACCACCTAATTGCATACAAGTTATCCTCAATAACAACTAACTTCTCATCAGAAATCATGGGGACCAGAAGATAGTGGAACGATATAAGTACTGGAGGAAAAGGACTGTGAACCAAAAATTCTGTATCCAACAAAACTGTCCTTCAAAAGTGAAGAAGAAATTAAGATATTCCCAGATAAACAAAAACATAGAGTTCGATCTAGTTACATGTGCTCTACAAGAAAAATGGGATTCCTTAAGACTGAAATGAAGGCAATGATCTGTAACATTTCTCTAATTTTATAGATAGGAAAACTGATGGGCAGGTAGAAGGAATCATCTTATAAATGATGGGATAAGAATTAGATCCTCGTTATAACCACACTGATGCAGTCATTTCTTCATTCATCAAATTAATTCCAAGAACAATGAAACATCTGACTCTAGAAGGCATCTTAGTATGAGCACAGACTTGCCTATGTCCTTGGGAGCAACATTGGGGAATAAATAATTATATTCAATGTGGTAAGTGTTAGAATAGCCTATACTGGCCAGGTGCAGTGGCTCATGCCTGTAATCCCAGCACTTTGGGAAGCTGAGGCAGGCAGATCACAAGGTCAGGAGTGTGAAACCAGCCTGGCCAATATGGTGAAACCCCATCTCTACTAAAAATACAAAAATTAGCCAGGCGTGGTGGCACGCGCCTGTAGTCCCAGCTACTCAGGAAGCTGAGGCAGACGACTCGTTTGAACCTGGGAGGCAGAGGTTGCAGTGAACCGAGATCATGTCACTGCACTCCAGCCTGGGTGACAGAGCGAGACTCTGTCAAAAAAAAAAAAAAAAAAAGAAGAAGAAGAAGAATAGCCTGTACTAAGAGCTTTTCAACTTCCATTTCAAGATGATAGACTGAGCACGTATAGTTGTCTCCTTTTATTCCAAGTCTCTGTAAATTGCTCAGAATCATTTAAACAAATATATTTCTTCCCTATAAAACAACATAGGGAAAACCTGGTGAATCAAAACCACAATAAAAGGTGGAAAACAGGTGGGATCAGAATAAATATGGAAACCGTGCCAGAGGAGAGGACGGCCGCCAAAGGTGAGAGCAGCTCTAGGAATGCTTCAAACTCAGAACTTGTGAGTGGGAACAGGAGGCGGTCCATGATTGCTGACCATGACCGGCAGAGGCTCACAGAATGGACGGCCAGGAATGTTCGCCGGAGGCCACACGCTGAGTCACAGAGGTGTCTTCCCATGGGCGGGAGCAGTGAGAGGTGAACACCTGGGCATGAGGCAAGACAGAGCCCCAGAGATTAACAACTCCCACGGATAACAGGAAGCTTCCACATCCAGAAGGTTCACCGTTGGCTCATCCTGCCCAGCAGCACATCTCGTCCCTTCATTCCACTTTACACAGGTGCACCAAGTCATGGCTGCGTGTCCCACCCCTTTCTGCAAGCAGGCCACTTAGGCTAACAAGGAATTTCAGAGCCAAAGGT